GTTAAAAATGTACTCGTGCCCCAACCCCAACGGCAATTAAAAACTTTTATCTTTTAGCCCATAATTCAGGATAAGGTATAGGTATCTGCTTTTTCAGGCCTCCTGGATAGTTTCAGTGACCTCCCCTGCCCCCAGGGGATGATATTGCCCACTATGGGAATTACGGCCCCAGATAGTCCATCAGTCACCATCACTCTCTGTCACTGATACAGATAACCAAACCAAACTCACTGCTATGGCGTCAATGCTCATAGAAACCCTATAGAACAGGATAGAACTGCCCTTGAGGGTTTCTGAGAGAGTCACTCTTAACAGGAGTAGAAAGCCCAGCCTTTCTCTCTCAGAGTGGCTGGTAGTTTCAAACTGCTGACCTTAGATACAGGTAGTCATGTGACTTGTTGTTCTAGCCACTCCTTTAGCTACCCAAAATGTGTGTTAGTTTCATGGCAGTAGAAAATAGGGGCGGGGCAGGAGCCTCATTACCTAGGACACACCTGATATTCAGATGAAATCCAGATGCACCCACAACTTCGTCTGGGACACTCACGTTTGCTTTTCTTGTGTGTTTGTTTGTCTTGATGTTGTTTTGTTTTGTGGGCATGTGCCAGTCAGGTCTGATCACAAAATAATACTTATAAAAGCCAGCACCATGCCTCAGTTTCCCCAGTGAACTGAACAAGGTGGAATTAGAGAGAACCCTACCTAAGCAAACCTGCCTGAACTTTCCCCTCCCACTCACAGCTGCCACTGCTTTGGCTCGGCTCATTCGCACATTCTTTTATGTTACAAATCTAGTCATCTGAGCCTCTGGGAACCCACGGGAAGGTTGCTGGCCCCTGGGCCACACCCCAACCCCTTTTGAGCAAGACGGATAAACACACAAAGGACAAGTCAGGAGGCCTTCATGAAAAGCGGCTCATCTTCCGGAGCAAATTGTGTAGTTCAGAAGCAATTGAAATTTCTGCAGTTGGCAAAACTTGGCTTGATGATAGCAGCCCCATTGGACAGGGTAAAACTGCCCCTGTGGGGTTCTGAAGCTGTAGCTCTTTATAGGAGTAGGAAGCCCCACCTTTCTCCTGTAGAGTCGCTCATGGTTTCAAACTGCTGACTTTGAGGTCAGCAACCAAACACGTAACCACATCACCAGGGCTTAGAATCATCTCTCCGATAGGTAACACGTAGTCTGTGATATGAAGTATTAGAGCAGCGGTTCTCAACCTGTAGGTCGAGACCCCTTTGGGAGTCGAACAACCCTTTCACAGGGGTCGCCTGATTCATAACAGTAGCAAAATGACAGTTATGAAGTAGCAACGAAAATAATGTTATGGTTGGGGGTCACCACCACATGAGGAACTGTATGCAGGGGTGGCGGCATGAGGAAGGTGGAGCACCACTGTGCTAGAGGAAGACTGGGGCAGGCAGGAGGCAGCGTGGTGGCTCCAGGGAATCGCAGGCACAGGTGGGTGCATAGGTGTGATGAGCGGAGAGGCTGGGGGCCTTGTACGCCGTGTGAGCAACAGTAAGGAGTGTGGGTCTTGTTCGAAGGGCTTAGGTGGCCCTAAGAACGCGGGGTGTGCAAACATGGGAGCTGTAAGGCCTGAAGGAGGGGGACTGCCCCTGGACAGTAAGCAGGGCGGAAGCCGGACAAAAGAGGGCAGCCCCAGCTGTACATTTTAGGGAGGTCAGCAGGCTTCGATGGCGAGTTGGAAGCAGGGTGAGGGAGAGGCTTCCAAACGTCCCTGGGAAAATTCCACGATCTTGTCATCCCCAGGTCCCACGAGCTTTTTCTAAAGTCCCCTCATCGAGGCATTACTGGGTGTAGAGCCAGACTGTCGTCAGCAAGTGATTTCACCTCTTTGGGCCCCAGCAACCTCATCTGTACAATGGGGGTTCTGGGGTACTTCCCCACTGGGGTGGTATGAAGTGATGTTTGTAAAGCTCCTTTTTTTTTTTTAATCATTTTATTAGGGGCTCATACAACTCTTATCACAATCCATA